GTGTGCGTGCTTGATGAATGTTGGAATGTGCACGACTCTCTCTCTCTCTCTCTCTCTCTCTCTCTCTCTCTCTCTCTCTCTCTCTCTCTCTCTCTCTCTTACGAACCGGGACGGCGTGATAGCGGAGGCATGGCCTCCATCTCGTCTTCAAAATCTGTGAAGAACATCTAGCCGCCGGGACTTCTGACAGGAGTGGAACCCACCCTCCTGGCCTCCCTCATGTACAGCCAGCTGTTTCTACAGGGAATAGAAGACTTAGAGTTGATTTCAACAGAGATTCAAATAAAAAAGAAGAAGAATGACATGACGAAGGTGATAAATGAGAACAAGGTGTACGTGCATAAGAAATATAGCGGAGTTTCGAAAAATCAAAGAAACTTCGACGTTTTTTCAGTTTCGCAGCCCCCCCTCCCCGCCTCTCTTCGGTCTATAGTGTAGTATGCTGGATGGTACACAGATGTGCCTGCTCAAATTTTCCCTTTTTCTTATTTAAACACCCATAACAGTTAGTCGACTGGTCATGAGTTCAAGTCTGGCTGCGCCAGATGCCAGATGGATACAACTGTTTTTCTCTTGTTCTACCCCAGATGGGAAATATAAGGCTCGGAGCCATCCTTTAAAGCAACAGAAAACGAAAAAGAAAAAGAAAAGTCAAAGGAAAGGCAGCCCAGTTGAGCAAACTTTCTATCCCTCTGCACATCCGTTGTCTCAGTCTTATACTGCAGTTAACTGCAGTTAAGTCCTATATTGCAGTTATATTGCAGTTAAGTCCTATATCGGAGTTATATTGCAGTTAACTGCATTTAAGTCCTATACTGTCCTATATCGCAGTTAACTGCAGTTAAGTCCTCTACTGCAGTTAACTGCAGTTACTGTCCTCAACTGCAGTTAACTGCAGTTAAGTTCTTTACTGCAGTTAACTGCAGTTAAGTTCTATACTGCAGTTAACTGCAGTTAAGTTCCAAAAGTCCTATACTCCAGTTAACTGCATTAAGTCCTATACTGCAGTTAGCTGCAGTTAAGTCCTATACTGCAGTTAACTGCAGTCATAACTACAGTTGCCGTTAACTGCAGTTAGCGGAACCCGTCAAGTTAAAAGGAGGCCCGTTAGCAACATCAGGGGCCATGTCCCACTTACCCTGGTTCTTCATTTATGCCTGTTGATCCTCGTAATATACGGTCAGAAATGGTATGCTGGTTATACTGGAGATGATCTACCAAGTAAATTTTTTTAGATTGCAGTCATGTTTTTCAGCCTGGTAGAGGCTCCTCCATAGAGCCTTAAGTTCATGCAGGAATAAAAAACACCGAATGTGGACCGCGGTTCAGAGGAAGGCAGGAAATCAGAAATCCCGACCCCTCTCTGCCTACGGTTTACCGGGCATCTTTGTTTTACGATACATATATAGAGGTATTGACAGCTTCCCATCGAATGATCATAAATTCAAAATTTGACCTTTAAGAAAAACAAAAAGCAAAAAAAAAAACAAAAAAAAACTGATCTGATGATAAGCGTAGTTACATCAACTGATATGAGTACTCGACATCCTCCTCCTCCTCCTCCTCCTCCTCATCATCATCATCATCATCATGGTGTTTATAAATTATAATGGGTAAACTCATGTTACTCACAAGAGTCACAACAAACTGTACTCAATATCTGAAACTTCTAAGGGCATACTCACACAAGTACTTTCCTAAATGTATAGTGCGGCTTATTAGTGCCCGCCGGAATAATGTCCAGAAGACGCAAACGTCCAGACTCTCCAGAGCGTACTATAAAAGTCCTCGTGTGAGTATGCCCTACAAGTTCAACAAAGTCCTTCGGGACATCTGTTAAAATTGGAACGATACAGAGAATATTAGCATGGCCCCTGCGCAAGGATGACATGCATAAATCGGCAAATGGTCCAATTTTTTTCAAAAAAAAAAAAAAGTTCAACATGGAATTCATGGGAAGCTCGTGAGGATAACCTATTATAATACTACTTCTGTTCGAATCATTACGCAGTCATTCAATTCATATATTTATTCTTCTGTTCGGATTCATAAAAGAATCGTGAAAAATTATTCAAAAATAATAATAATAATAATAATAATAAATCGTGCATGTATCAGTAACCAGAAGCTGACAGAAAGCCTAGAGCCCCAGTTTCATCCTCTAACCTGTCACCGGAATAAAAGCCAAAGGGAGGGGGGGGAAGGGGGGTGGGAGGGGGGGGGGTAGAAGTAGCCCTTCTATTCGGGGGCCGCAAGCTAGTGGATTTGCAGCCGGATGGCAGTTCATTGCAATGGGGATAGGACTCGAATAGAGGAGGGGAAAGGGGGGGGAGGTCATTGTTATTACACTCTGTAAAATTATTATTATTTGTTGTTTCTGTCCTTCACAGAAATCGAAAAGAGGTTGTTTGGGGGGCCAAAAAAAAAAACATTCGAAGACTTGGTTTGTGGCCGCACATTACAAAAAACTGAAGCAACCTACCCCAAAATTCGAACTTTCATTTGCACTCATAACTGCCGCAACTGGGGTCCACCCCTTTAGGAACTTAAGGTTCTAAATCATCAGTACCCCGCCGGGCCCGCCCAGCTTGAAACAAAAAACGTGTGTTTAGTATAAGAGCGCAGCGCATTTCTATATAAAAAAAAAGAGCGCAATGCGCATTTCTTGGTGGACCAAAATGGCTGGGGGCGCCAGCCAAAAGCAGAACCGCATGTGTTGTGTTTTGTTTTTTTTTGGTGGCGCGCAGGGCGAATTTAGGCTCGGCATCGATAGCTGGGGGGGGATATCTTGTGGTTAACCTGCAGAAAACAAACAGAGCAGCCTTCCTTTTACCCTTTGTCAGTAATCCGAGCTGCCTGTACGGAATGATTTTTGGGAAACTTTGTCTGGCGCCCCTGTATTTTCCCTTATTTTGCATCGCGCCACTCTGACGATAGATTTGCCCTGTCGCACCCCTCTAACCACAAGTCAAAATTTCCATACAACCCTGGTGCCATGCAGGCCTCATATATTTGTGTAGTGCCCCTATGGGTACACACACGAAATTTGCAGCATGCCCCTATCGTGCCATCTATTTTTGTCCGGTAGACCGCGGGACAGCAGTCCCAAGGCAACCTCCAACGGCCGTGCGGTGCCCCACCTGTGGCCCCGCAGTCCCTCTGGCTGGCAGAAAAGGAGCATGATCTGACACACCCGATGACGTGCAGACATCTCCCAACGCCTGGGCTATGGCGGCCTTCCTCCTCCCCTTACCCCACCCGGCCACCAGCCGTAGTCCGTTCACCGTCTCCATGTGCCGACGGACTGCGAGGAGGGCACTGGGAACCATGGTCCTCTCACAGGGTGACAGTCTCATCATCGCCGCCTCATCCCTTCCACCGCCGTCCATAGCTGAACTCCCTAGGCTTGCAAAAACACACCACACGGCAGTCTAGCAAAGCCATGTGCGGTGCCACAACGGTAGAGTATCGGCACATGCAATGCCGAAAACGTGCATGCAAGAACTCTAGAATGCAATGTGTGCGAAGCAAGCTGGTGGCGCAAAATTTGAATTCGAATGGTCAGGGTCCGCACATGCGTTCTCCTCGCAGGCGGATGACATCGCGCGCCCAGATCACGGCCCCGCCTGCGTTCGGGATGAGGCCGGACCAGGTGTCCCATGGGCCCAAAGGTGGTGGACACAATTTCGTCTGGTGCAACTGTGGGTCGGACATTTGGATTCCTCTTTCGGCCGCTTAGAACGCAAATGGAGGCACCTGGAACGTAAGTGCGCCTAACTGCAGGGTTTTCGTTAGTGGTTGTGGGACGCAAAATGGGGTAAGGGAAAAAGAATCACTTTTAAGTTTTAAGGGAAAAAGAATCACTTTTCCGTCGTAAGGGCGCCCTTACAAAATTATAACGCTTTTGTAGTGGTGTCGAACGAGGCCCTTAGTTCTGGTTTCGAGTATCCACAGGTCCCTGCCATCCGATCTGAAAATTTCCCAACCTGAGTGCAACCACGCTCAGCCTGAAAAATACACGAGACAAGGGGCCTCGCTCCACTGCTCTCCACATGCACAGAAGACAAAAATCATAGCGGTGCATCTTTCCTTGTTCTAGGGGAGGATTCACTCTCGTTTTTCACTTTTCGAGAGTTACTGTAGTGGAGCGACAGCGTGTCAGCAACAAGATCTAACCCTTGGCAAGTGGGGCATGGCCCCTCCAGGCAAGAGGTAGCAGCAGGAAAATCTGAAAAAGCCTGCAACGATTCTGTCACAGAACTAAAAGATCATCTTGATTGCTGTGGATGAAAGGGTAAGACATGGCATTGTGATGTAACGGCTCGTAAATAACTTATCAGTTCGATTCCTGATCAATGAGACGAGTACAATAAGGGCGAATTTGCCTTGCTTGCTGTTTCAAGTACCAGCATGTGGCCGAGCCTTCGACCCTCCCCCCTTGGCGAGACCCCTCCTCCCCCCCCCCCCCCCTCCCCCTCTGCTTTAGACGCAGCCATGTCAAGGCTAGGGCCTCTAGCCAGCACCAACGGAGAGTCTTTGGAGAGCAAGCGGTGGTGGGTCCAAGCTGTACCAGACTGCAATGGAAGGACTTTATAAGCCATTGCTAGCTGGGCATTTTGGATAAACACTTATGGACTACAATTGGGATTTTTCTTCTCCAGCGGAGTTCGAACTCGGGTCTGTGTTTCAAGCGTCCAGGAGGTGTTTCAACTGACCTAGGCCAGTTGGTAGTACGGACTAGAATTGCACTTGGTAGTCCATGGCTTTTCAAGCGTTTTGAAGAGTCCAATGAGCGCCGAGACATCGCTCTGTCAGACTGACAGTGTGTCAGTTGCGTTACTTTTTTCATTTACCGTTTCGAAATCCAAAGAGGGGTCTGCAGTGCAAACTGAACTGCAGTACCCGTTATGAGAGGACTCTGTACGCAAGCCATGGGGCAGGTGGAGGTGTAGCTGCAGCCTGCACTGCCCTGCAGACCTTGGACTACCCGAAACTTGATTTCGGGTAGGTCTGACACAAAAAGCTAGCTCCGAAGTATGGCGAAGTACCTCGGTCCTCAAAGAAGATTAACGAAGGGTCTTGTACTAGGTGAGCTTGGGAGAAGTAGGAACAAGCTCCCCAAGAGTAGACATCGCCAAGTTTGTGCGACATGTGCCATAGCCAGAAGCAATGGCGGACTCGGGATGCGCCAGACGTCTACACTCTACGGGACTTCAACTCAGAAGTGGCACATGGGGTGGGACCATGGGACGTGTGCCATAGGCCCATAGCCATGAGCTATGGCGGGCTCTGTATTATCCTTCTGATCTTATGAAGAGCTTTTTTCGAGATTGTTCATCCACATCATGGACCACATGTTTTTGCCCTGGTTTAGCACGGTTGTGTGATTCTGCCAGTCTGTTGACGTCATCTTCCTTTTTCTTCCACTCTTCTTCTTTCTCTTTCTCCTCTTCCTCCTTCTCTTCTTCCTTTCTCCACGGTGACCATCTTCTTACGTCTTCCCTTTTTATTCAATGGGAGGAAGGAGTAAGAGAGAGCTACTTTTGCAAAAGGGAGGAAGATAGCCTAAGGATTCAATTCGGAGTGTGAGGTTGCTTGAGAGTTAGGGCATCCAACCTTGAGAAAGAGAGAGACAAGGAGAGGAGGAAGGGGAAGAGGGTGCCATCTCTCCGAGCTTGGCTTGTGACTCACTCCTTCTAGTTCTCTAACTGTTACAACAACAGTCCTTCACCTAGTAGTAGCTCCACTTCCTATCCTTCTATTGTCCTTACATTAATACTCGCTTCTCCTTTCCCCCCTGGAAGAGGGTGACTTGATTCCCTTCAATCAAGCTCAATGTCCTACCAGGCTACCACATTCTTTCTTAAATCGTTCCAGGACTGAGGACCTGTCTCCTATGTCCGGTTCACGAGCTTCTTCCCTTCGATTTCCTGCCACACCTCTTTTTGGGTGTGTGGGAGGATGGTGGTGTGCCGCGTGCGATGGGTGCGAGCTTGGTCCTATTTGAATTTTTACGAAAGGCTAGGATATGGCAGCAATCTGTATGAGTGCTGTGACTTTGCGATTTCGTATCACGTGGTTGTTATCCATCGCTCTCTCTCTCTCTCTCTCTCTCTCTCTCTCTCTCTCTCTCTCTCTCTCTCTCTCTCTCTCTCTCTCTCTCTCTCTCTCTCTCTCTCTCT